GTCTCCCTTCTTCATGGTTACAAGTGTTGTTTCAGTGCTGATGAAGAGTTTCCTGTGTGTGGAGCGTGTTTACGCGTCACTGACCTCCATCAGCCGTTCACTGGAAGTTTAAATCTGTGCTGCTGCAGACGCCCCCTGCCCCATACTTTTCCCCACATTGAGACTGTGGTCTCTTTATTTTTAAGTAGACGGCAGGCTGTGAAACTAAAGTCCAGACTCTTATACCTGGGCATCATCCATCTATCCACCCAGACTTAAAGACGACCTCGCACAGGGTCAAACATACGATCTGACAGTAAGATTATTTAAGAAGAGTGCATATATGGACTTTACCTCAAAGAAACCGCTACAATCTTGCCATCTTCAAGTTACTTTAAATGACTAATAGATTTTTATCATCAAGAGTTCTTGTACTTGTATCCACTTGTGAGAGATTTCCTTGGAATATGAAGATATCCGCTGCATCTGTGTGAAGAAGTGTTTCTCTGTGTCTGTGGAACCTGAAGGTCTCAGATCCTCTTCAAAGTGTGCTGAAGCTTTAAAATGAGCACATATAGAGGCTGGGACATTCACAGCAGTGAATCTCTCTGAGCCGCTCTCCTGGCCAGGCTCTAACAGCGCACGCATAAAAAGTCAGTAAAATGTGGGCTGTCCACCGACTCAAACGTGAAGCGTGAAACTGCGCTGGCTTCAGAACACGTTACCATCAGAGGATCAGCCCTCTGGCTGCTGCAGGAGCTCCTGATTGTTAAAAGATGGAAGAAATGAATTCAGAGTTCAAATGAAGCCAGTGAGCTCAGGGTTTACTTTGATGCTGAAGCTCCTGGACGCGATGACCCGACGAGGTCAGAACATGCGGTGAGTCTGTGGGTTTAGCTGTGAGCGGCCATCAGGACAGATGGATGATGACTCAGCTTTCTGCTGGTTTCTCTGTGATCTCAGCAGCGTCTGCTTCTCATTACTGTCCTGACCGATCCCTGGAACCACCATCGCAGCTCCAATCACATTCTGGTGAGATGACTGTGTGGCTATAAATAAACGTGACTTCAGC